GGGGCCACTGGCATGCTGCTCCCCCAAGAAGCAGAGGCTCTGGGCTGCAGCTCTGAAGCCCCTGTGAGATTAGGGCCCTACCCTCTATGAGGGGTCTTGAACCAGCTTCCTCCCAAGGTTCCATAGGACAGAGTCCAAACTTCCTTCTGGGTCTACAGGGCACAGCGTGTCAGGTCTTACCTGCGCCCCAGCCTGTGCCCTCAGCACCCTCACCCCGACCTCTGCCCTCAGCCTGTCAAGCCAGCAGCTCTCTGCTCCGCCTCCCTGCTCGCAACCCACTGCCCTCCTGCCCTGGGGATCGGCCTCCAGACACAAGGCCTGGGCCTCACCACCGTGAGGTGCGGCCCACCCATCTCAGGTATATCTGAGAAAACAAGGCCCGGGGCGGGAGGCCTGGCAGGCGTCCCCTGTCCCACCTGACACCACGCCCTGAGGGCCGGCACCTCGGGAAGGGCCCACTCACTTCTCTGGCCAGCTTTTCCGCTTGGTCGTAGAAGTTGGTTTCAAGCAACCCAAAAGAATAGATGCCTTTCACGTAGCTGAAAACAGAGCAAACATCTTTTTAAAGAGCGGACTGGGATCGTTCAACCCTCAACATGACCTGTAGGGCTGCCTTGTGTCCCCCAAAAATGATACGTTTGAAAGTATGCTCTAATCTACACGGAGGGTGTCAGCAGATGTAACGAGTCAAGATGAGGTCATACCAGAGTATCAGTAGGGTGGGCCCTAAATCCAATGGCTAGTGTCCTATAAGAGAAAAAGAAGTCTGGACACAGAGACATGGGCACAAAGGACAGACAGCCATGTGAGACAGACTGGAGTGACAGACCTGTGAGCCAAGGAAGCCAAGGACTGCTGGCCACTGCGAGAGCCAGGAGAGGCAGAAAGGGACCTCTCCTGGGGCCCTTAGAGGGACCGCGGCCCTGCCGACGCCTTCGCCTGACCTCAGGCTTCTGGCCTCCAGCACCGTGACAGAATGAATTTCTGTAGTTTTAAGCCAAGCAGCCTGTGGTATTTCGTGAATGCAGTGCCAGGAAGCTGATTCGCATGCCAGCCAGGTGCTGCAGGCACCGCACCAAGCACTGCGTTTCCTAGAGATTCCGGTTAGTGACTTTCGTCACCTGCACAACTGTCCCCAAACCCCAAACCCTGTCTCTGGTGCAGACCCCTCTGCAATTCACATCCCATCTCCTAAGACATCAACATACACCATCAACATACATCAACATCAACATCTGGGAATGTCAGGGGCCTCCTCCCTCCTGCCTACCTGGTGATGCCCACTGGGAAGAAGGCCTAGGGACACCTGCAGGGAGCTGTGGGGACCGTGGGCTGTCAGCGGTTTCTTTGCTCGGCAGCACCGTGCACGGTTCCTCCCCAGACCTCAGCTCCTGGAGGCCAGGACTCCGTCTGTCCAACTCACGCTTGGCCCCAACCAGCTGAGGATGGGCTTCAAGACCCTTCGCTGACTAAACACATACTTCCGCTTCTCACCCATAACCACTGGCCCCTGAGCACCCAGGGCCGTCTGCGTGAAAGAGGTGTCCTTTCCTGTGCTTTTGTGGGATTATGTGGACTCAAGATAGAGCAATGGAGTTTCCATTGGGGACTCAGATGTTATGTCTACTACTGTGCACAGAGATAAACTCTAGCTTTTATTATTCACGGAGGCAATGTTTTAGAGCACTGGCTTCCAGACTTTGCTTGTAAATATTTATTGAGTTCTAATTGGGTCATTTAACCCTCAACATTCAAACGTACTGAACGCATGACGCGCACATACTGTTAGGCTCTTGGGATGGTTAATTTGATGTGTCAACTTGGTTGAGCCATGATACCCAGCTAATTGGTAAAACACAATCTAGATGTTTCTGTGAAGACAGTTTCTAGATGTATAGAAAATTTAAATGAGTAGACTTTGAGTAAAGGTGTTCCTCCGTGATGTGGGTGGGCCTCATCCAATCAGTTGAAGGCTCAAGAGAAAAAAGTGACCTCCCCCAAAGAGGAAGGAATCCTGCCTCCAGATTGTGACACAGAAACTTCACCTGACTTCCCTGACTGCGCCTGTCCTATGGATTTGAGACTTGTCAGTTCCCATAATAGGCTTAGCCAACTCCTTAAAATAAATCTATCAATATAGATATGTTTATTTACATATAAACAACATAAATATAGACATACACATCCTATTGGTCCCGTTTCTCTGCAGAACCCTCACTAATACAGCTCTTCAACTGAGCCATCTCTGACCTTCACAACGATCCTACAGTTGAGAGGCAATGGAGGTGGTCGTGTGCAGTGGTCGCTAGGCTGTTCGCAGGTCCTCCAGGCCCCTCTCCTCTGAGTACACAGCACTGTACTTCCTGGCCTCCTGTGGGCGGGTGGCCAGCTCCTGCCAATGCCTTGGGAATGGCAGGGTACCCTTTCACTCTGAGCACTTAATTGCCATTTTGAGTGACTCCAGAGCAGCCGGTGTGCCCAGAGAGTGGTTGTCTCATCAGCCAGGATTCCAGAGGGAGACAGTGGCACTGGTACCGAGCCTCAAGCATCCTGTGATGGGCATGTGGGTTGTCTGAGAAATATACCTTTGTTGTAACAAGCCTTGGTGAATCAGATCTTGAGGATGTTTGTTACTGCAGCAAAAACTCCCCTGTGCTCACTGATGCATAATCGTACTACCTCATTCCCAAGACAGGATGGAGATCAGATAAAGAAAATGAAGCCTTTTTAAAGAACGAGGAGACTAGCAACACTAGTCTTTTTTTAGGGCAGAGCCAGGAGCGTTGCCATGTTTTTAGGGCAGAGGAGAAAGACTAAGAAATAGAAACGATGTAATTCCCAACTATCACGTACTTGCTAAGGGGGATGGCAGGTGTCCAGAAGGGGTAAATTCGAGCCACGGAATCTCGCATCTGCTCCTGGTAGCCCAGGTAAAAATAGGCATCATGGGAAAATTTCAGCGCCAACATGTCGGTTGGGTGGTCCCGGAGAATCTGTTCCCATAATTCACAGGCCTTGGGGAAGTTGCTGGAAGCCAAAAGAGGGTTCTCAGTAACCCTGAACACAGTTCACACACACAGGGAGCAAAAGAGGCATCATTTCTTGCCAGCATCACAATCCGAACCAGTTAAAAAAAAATGCATATATATACATATATATATATGTGTGTGTATATATATACACATATATATGTATATATATGTATATGTATATACATATATGTGTATACGTTACATATTATGTAATGTTATGTATATACATGTACATGTATATACATAAATGTACACACACACATATACAGCAGGTCCTCGAATAATGTCATTTTGTTCAATGTCCTTTCGTTACAACATTGATGAGATGCTGCAGTAACTTAATTCTTGTTTATATCAATTAGCCTGGGGTGAAATTGGTTTTGTTATATATCATTTTGCTTAAAGTCTCAGAACTTATCTCTGACGTGAAGTGAGGACTTAACTGTATATATAAAAGTATCTATTTTAGGTTGTAACTCAGAAAATTGACAAACTAATGGGAAATTTTGCTCTCAAATTCAAACAAACAAACAAAAAAAACAACTTGATCAAATACACTGCGGAAGACAATTCTACCCAAGACCAGGAACCAGCTGCAGGAAGTCCTGGGGTGGAATTTCACCCCTGTGCTGGAACCAGGCTCTGACTAAGCAGGAAGATCGGGCGGAACTCCCTTTGTCCCTGTTCCATAACCCTTACAAAATCAGCTCAGGTCAGCTAGTTCTGTGGGGCATCTCCCCTGCCTGAGCGGACACAGGGGCTGTCCCAGGAATAGGCTCTAGGATCAAAATGCCCACAAACAAGGGACAGCAGTGGGAACAACAGGGGCCAGGATCGATCAGGAAAGCTATGGACAGACGCTCACAGGGTGTATTAGGACAAGACGACTAAGGGTGAGGGCTTTCTCTCCCACCTTTTATATATTTCTGTAACGTGGTCCTATTATTCTTTGTAACAAAAATAATCACCAGTTTATTTAATGAAATAAAGTAAGCTGTTCTGAAAGCTATACTGGGAATCCTAGCGAACTAACATCCTCATTCGGCAGTCAGCTGAGGCCAGACCAGCAGGCAGGGTGGAAAGCAAGGCAAGCATTGCCCCAAGGCCCCCTCCCCAGGGGCACCGGGCAGCCTGTGGCATCACCCAGTCCAACCTCGGAGCGCCGGCCCATGGCGCAGGGAGGCCCCTCACCCCTTGGCGAAGGTCTCCACTGCAGACACGTGTAGCTGCTCCCGCTGAGTCAGCGGCTGGGTTTTGGAAAGCGCTACCATGTTCTTCACTGCCAGGTCCAGCTCTTTGTCCAGTTTCACGGAGCTTCCGGTGCCAATCAGCACCAGACCATTGGAGAGGGCGTGGCCCATCACTGGTGAGAGGTTGGGGAACAACCGGTGATTCGGACGGCCCAGCCCCACGTGTGAACTAACACCCCACGTGCCAGGAGGGGCAAGGCAGGTGGTGGGCAGCCTGTGCGCTGTGCCCTCACCGACAGCCCAGAACTCCGCCCGGGCCCTCGCCGTGCGTGTAGCGCGGCAGGAACCCTAAAAGCATCCTGCACCTTCACAGGTATTTCCCAGCGAGGGCATCCTGGTGAGTGCCAACGTCGGAGCACCTAAGAATCACCCAGCGCACTGGCTAGGGGCTGCCCGCGGGCTCCCGTGGCATCCCCCTTGCTTCCCTCACCAGCTGACATTGGCACTACGGGGCCTCCATGGTAGATGCTATGCTGCCTGGGGGCACGGAAGCCACAAGCCTGCCCGGGCCACCTCATGCACTGACAGCTGGGGGTAGTGCGTGGGGTGCTCACCGAAGCTTGGGTCTGCAGCCCTCATTTTTGACAGACAGCCCTCGATGCCGCCGAGAGTCTTGTCATTGGTCCATTTGACGTACTGAAACATAAAAGATACCCCGAGCAGTCTCCAGAGAGTTCTTCGCTCCCGTTAACGAAGGCATGTATCTAAATCACGATTTCTCCTCCTTTCGAGAACACTGAGTACTTTCTGAACTCTAACTCGAAGAAACCATAACTGGGCTGATTTCAGATGAAGAGACTGAATACACATAACTCAAGGCACATTTTTCAGGGCTGGCAAAGCTGCTGTTTTCAAAAAATAAACATATAAAGGAAGGTTTTGCCGGACGGAAGACTTGCCCACAACATCAACGTCTTCGGGCTTATGAGGGACCTTGACATTGAACACCACAACGAGAACCTTCCTGCATCTTATTCCCTTCCTTTAAGACAAACCATAGCAAACACTCATTACAGAAAGTCAGGCACAGCCTCGACAGCTAAAGATAAAAACTTACCCATAAAGTCACCTTATCACCATTTGACAATAGGATGTTTTGTTTCTAGTCATTTTTGAGAAAAACAAAACAAAACAAAACGCCTATTTGTAAAAATCCTAAAACCATAATAATGCATTAGATTTTAGAACGTGCCCTAGTAGATGTCCAGCCTACATCCACACAGGTTCAGCACATGTATATTGAGAAGACACCGAGGAGTTAGCACAGAGACTCGAAGAACCCATGTGCTAACACAGGACGGCACAGAGACACCAATACACAAGACAGATGTACACACTCAGGAGGTGAGTGTAACAAGCTGATGCTCTACAGCTGCAGCAGGGGGCCCCAACTCCCAGGTTGTGGACCCCTCTACCAGTCTGTGGCCTGTTAGGAATCAGGCCGCACAGCAGGAGGTGAGCAGCAGACTAGCAAGTGAAGCTTCAACTGTATTTGTAGCCGCTCCCCAGAGCCAGCATCACTGCCTCAGCTCCGCCTCAGATCCTCAGGCATTAGACTCTCATAGGTGCCCCAATATCTGATACCAGAAAAGTTGGTAACAGTTGGTGTACAGAGGCCAAAAGGTGTGGGAGAGGCACAAAAAGATCTCAAATACACCCAGTGGAATTCCCCGGCAAGCTAACTGCATTTCACCAGGCGTTTCTTGTATGGCCCTTAGGTTTCTAGAAGCTTCCTTGGTCCTTACGCTGTGTGGATGGAGTCAGTAGGCAGGGGTCTCACTGCTCCTACTAAAGACCGGCTCTCGTCTGTCATCGTCGCATGTAGACCCAGGTACGTCCCGCTCCTCCTCTAGCTCACCGCATGAGTCAGCTGTCTGGGCCTCAGTTTCCCCACATGCCACAGAAAGCAGTGGGACCTCACTTCTGACACCCTCCTCTGAACCATAGGCTCCTTCATTGGTGTTAGAAATGACTGGTGATATGGCGGAAGGTCTTGGAACAGCCACAGGTGAGAGCAGCAGATTCACGGATGAGCCCTATGACGGGGTCCCATGCCCGAAAAGGAGGAGCCCGCGTCAAACCCTTGCAGGCCACACCTCCTCTCTGCGAATGACCCCCTGTGCAGCTTTCAGCACTCTCACCCTGACCAGGAGCCCGCTACTGTTTGGCTGCCACTACGGGGACCTCTCAGCCATGCCTGGAGCTGGCAGACCTGTTTCTGAGATGTCTCCCTGTCCTGGGGAACAGAGTACAGAGATTTCATCGCAGTGGACTACTCAGGTCACCACGCAACATAAAAAGTAC